GGGAGCCCGATGCGGGACTCGATCCCGGGACTCCAGGATCATGACCTGAGCCGAAGGCAGTCGCTTAACCAACTGAGCCACCCAGGCACCCGGCATAAGGTTGTTTCTTAAGGAAACATGCCAGTACATACATACATTCTATGTTATGTTAGTGGTGCTTGTGCTCTTTGAACGGAGATTTTAGTACTGTAATGAGGTAAAAGTGGTAGTCATTCTAGAGGTCACTTCATGGTCCTACCTGCGCAGGTGAGAGTCAGGGTTAAGCTCAAACTGGTCTGGGCCTTGTCCTGGCAGTCGCTGTTGCTTGAGGGGTGATTTTGGTTTCCATTTGCCTGAGTTAAGAGAGAAGCTGGAAAGAAGAGGTTAAGGAAAAATGTGGGACAGAGGTCAGTGAGTACAAGCAGGTGGGCAGTAAAGGTCCAGTCTTGGGGTCTAGCAGGCGATAAATCCCTCCTCTAGTTTTATTCTGCTGCTCATTCTTGAGGGGCACAGGGCAAAGGTCCTCCTTCTATAGTTCCTGCCGGACACAGATGTAGTCATCGAGATTGTTAGCCGAGCAGAATTTTCCCTCAGCCAGTTTTAGATAAGTCTGTGGGTCACTAGGGTTAACTCTAAGCTGCTCCTATCTTTATGTTACTACTATCTGTAATTTTTGGCCTCCAGGCATTTGTATAGAATTGTATTAGTCAGGGAGCTCCAGTGGCGCAATCGGTTAGCGCGCGGTACTTATACAGAATTGTATTAGTCAGTTAATGATGCAAAGTCTAAACGCAGTCTAAGAGCAGTAGGATTATTAGTGGCCTCAGGACAGGGAGAAATCATGTAGTATTGGTTAATGCTGTTTTAATAGCCTGTAGACCTCATCAGGGGATCTTCCTTTTTGGTTGAAAGTATGTAGCCAGGCTGCCTGGTTGAAGATTTTTTTAATATCTATTTCCACTTCACTTGAAGTATTAATCCAGGTACAGCATGAGCTGTTTGTTACTGCACATGCTCCTCCTTCTTCTGGTAATAAGTAGTCCAGGGCTAATCATCGTCTAGCGCTACGTTGGCTAAAGAGTTCAGGGAAATTTCTAAGTTTTTGAGGGCATTTCCTGTGTTTTTAGCTAAGGTTTCTATGACATCAGTTAGTTTCCTTGCAATGACTTTATAACCTATAAAACCTCCCTAAGAGGCACCTACTCCGACAGCCAGTCTAACACCAACCAGAATTAGTTTTGAGGCTCTTTTTACCTAGTGGGAAGACTGAATATGGGGTTTTGGTAAAGCTAGCTCCATATTACCATTTTTCTCTCTTGAGGGAGGCTTCACTGTCCTCTTGAAATAATTAAGCCCGGGGCACCTGGGTGGCTCAGTCACTTAAGCAGTGGACTCTTGACTTCAGCTGAGGTCATGATCTCAGGGTAGTGGGAACAAGCCTCCTGTCGTGCTCGTGCTCAGCGAGGAGTCCGCTTGAGATTCTCTCCCTTTCCCTCTGCCCCTCCTCCTGCTCACTCTCATGTTCTCTCTCCCTCTAAAATTAAATAGATAAAGTCTTCCCACTCAAAAGCAGATAGTACTTGGAATTTAGGATCTAGTGGGATGCAGAAAAAGGTATCCTTTCAATCTTACACCATGTAATATTTACTATTACTCAGTAGTTGGTCATAGAGTATAGGGATTGGGTATTACAGGTTGTATGTCTCAAGCAGCTTCATTAACAGCTCCGAGGCCTTGAACAAATCTGTATTCCTCACTTCCCAGCTTTTTAATAGGTAAAATTGGGGTGTTACATGGGGATCTGCATGACCTAATCAACCTGTTAATCACATTTAAGAGCTTGTTAATTACTGGGTGGATCCCTTGTATAGCATCTGGGGCCAGCAATCTATCTGTTTCAATTTTACTTTTACAAATGTGTTGTTAATGGCATGCCCCCACCTGCCCTCACACCCAGACTTTCGGGTTGACTTGCCTTAAGATTTTTTGGGGGGGAGTTTCCTGTTTTAAATACGAGGATATGTTGTAATAATGACATAAATTCAGTTCCTTGGTATTTAGGGACTCAAATTGCTAATTTGTTGTGTTCTGAACTTACTGTGGGCCCCAATTTGTCTAAAATATCTCATCCTAAAAGAATATGGGGCATTCTGGCACATATCAAAAAGAGTGTTTTAACAGCTTTAATCCTATTTCACAAGTCAGAGGATCCAGAAACCTTTTGATGTCTCCTTTTCCTGAGATTCCTTTCATATTACAATTTTTGTTAGAAAGGCTACCCTTCTGGGTGTTGAGTACAGAGAAATTAACTCCAGTATCAAGTAAAATTCAACTGGCTTCCCTCCTACTGCTGAGAGGTTACTCAGGGCTTCTCTTGGGAGATGAGGATCTAATGGTCCAAGACCAATTGGGGAGCCTTGTGGCCCTGTCATATCTCATCTTCAGTTAGGGACAGCCGAAATGAGTCTGCTTTGCCCTTCTTCCTTCTGTTCCGGGAGCGGTTCGGGCAGTTCTGTTTCCAGTGCCTTTCCTGCTTACAGTGTGCACATTGATTGGATCCCAGCTTTGTTGTTGGTCTCTTGGTCCCACGGAGGGGGCTCAGGGCACTCACCCATAGATGTCTTCTTTTCCTCTTCCAGGTTACTTCATGTAGGCTGGAGAGCTACCACCAAAAGAGCAGCTTGCCTTCTCATCTTCTGGTCTTCTCTTAGGTCCCCCATCACATCCAGTTATGGAACACCTTGAAAGCTAGTTCTGGAAGCTGAGCAGGGTGAGTATCGGGACTTATAGCCAATTCTGGAGTTTCCTTTGGATGTCTGGAGCAGTTTGAGATATGAAATAGGTTATTAAGGACCATTCAACTACCCTGAGCTTCAGGGTCCCAGTTTATATTTCGTCTTAGGGAGTTTTGTAGTCTTTCTGAAAAGGCTGATGGATTTTCATCTGTCCTTTGTTGAATCTCCCTTAATTTGGACCAGGAGATCTACCTACCTCCTTCATAGCTTTTAAAAGAAGCCCTCAGTAATGCCCTAAACTTTCTCTCTCATTGTGGGAGTTGGGATCCCCTCAGAGTCAGCTCTTAGCGCTGCCTCCTCGTTTAGTCTCTGAAAACTTGATCCTGGCTGATATTCTTTATCAGCTTCCTGTCTGGCTTCTGCTAACACAGCAAACTTTTCTTCTACCATTAAGAGAGTGGTTAGCAAAGCTTGTGTATCTGTTCAGATGGGTTGTGGGTAAAAAAGATATCCTGCATTAAATGTATAAATCACAGGTCAGCCCATAGCCCTTTAGTGTGTGCCTTCCAGTTATACAGGTCCGAGGTCAAAAATGGGACGTGCACATTAACGAGACACCCATCAACATCAGGTACTCGTCTCAATGACAACATCCCATCCCTGGCTTAAAATAGGTCCCAATCTGGTAGTGCTACCTGACAAGGGAGGCTAAAGGGATACAGAAGACATTGGGGAAGGCTTTGGGGGCGTTTGTAAAGGATTAGAGATGGGTGCTCATGAAGCTGGGGGAGCTGAGGCCTGAGTACCAGAGGAATAAGGCAAAGGCTTACTACGATTTAATGACTTGGAGGAGGAGATGGAGATGGGGACAGACTCCCTGATTCACCAGAGGGTACAGGACGCATTTTTAGGGTTTTCAATTCTACCTTTTTACAAATCCTATTGCAACCCTCGTTTTGATGTAATGCCATAAAGCACTGATCATATGGAATCTCTTCCCGTTTTCTTTCTCTTTTACAAAATAAGCTCAATTGTAGTGCTGTATTAAAATTTAAGGTCCCATTTTCTGGCCACTTCTCTTCATCCTCTAGAGTCTGTTATTGTGGCTAGG